TCTCATCTGGTTCTGTTTAAAAATCGCAATCTTACGTCGTAAAAACCATTCACATTTGAAGCGAATACATTCTCAAGAAGTAATGTGAATTAAGGACTGTAAGGAAACCGATTTTTCTTTTCGAATTTGTCAGTATTGAGATGACATATATACAGATGAAGAATGTGATCATAAAATAAAAGACAGCAAATAAGGAAGATGGGAGTTGCTTTTAGCTTATTAAAGTTGAAGGGAGGAATAACGCTTGAAGATATTCTTTCTGAATCCAAAGTCTAGGCTTGATCAATCTTAATGCGACAGTCTTAGCTATTTTGAGCAGGCTTTGGCGACCTACAGGCAGTATTGTACTTGGTATACGCTGTATGAAATTGAAAGCTCTTCTAGCATCCGTATGATGCCTTGTATTTACTAGTGCGATGAAACAGAACCTTCCATAACTCTCACTTCATGTTTTCCCAACAATACTTGTAGATATAATATACTTGTATGAACCCGTCGTCGACTGGACCAAGTTGATCAGTCTCTGTTGCCATATGGGCCGATCAATTCTGTCCAATCAACGAAGGGATAATACTTGCAGCATCATATAAAACGATACCAGTCGCACAAGAATTGGCTATCATTATTCAGTGGCCTAATTGATAACGCTCTGGTGTTTAAAGCGAATCCAGTTGAACCGTTTGGAGTAACAAGATTATTTGGATATGCGAATTACAAATAGAATTTCTATGCGGGCCTGAGGATCATTATCTTAGTTCATACGAATTACGAATTCGGGTTATAATGCTAAAAAATTCTTTATTACAAGAATTTTACAATTATTTTCATTCTTTGGTCTACCTTCTTGTTGATTCCCCTCTGATGAAGTACAATATAACGTGAAATACAGTCACTCCAGACCCAACATCATTTATTTCTTTGTTTTCACAAAGTCAGCACAATTTGTATGGTAGTGGAAATGATTCAGTGTTCATTTTAAATATCCAGGAAGGATCACTATCACTCCTGTACACCAAATACCAGGAAATGTTAGAACAATTAAAAAAAATCAATCCTGAAGTTATATAGTTACTTCAATGAATGAAAAATGTATGGTTAATTATATCTAAAATTCTATACAACAGATAACATTATATCATTGTTGTGTCTAATTGATAAAGTCACATGGAATTGCACTATTGAACATTTTTAAGAATGTTTGTGTTTTTGAGTTATTGATACTAATTTGGTCTATAAATGTAATCAACAGCTTAAACTATACATTCGACTTAATTCGCATTTATTACAATCGGTTGTTACTGTTATAATCAAGATAACTAGTTTGTTATAGTTCATTCAGCACTAGGGTATATCATTTTTTATATTTATATTGTCCAATTTATTTGAAACATTGATAATTTAGAGTTAAATTGTATCTATCAAAAATGTTTCTAAATATCGCTCCTTCTCTTAAGAGGCCAGGTCACTTAAAATAGCTGATAAGACTGACTTGAAAGTTAGTAGTTAAGTATAATGCTGTTTATAAAAATGCTTCATGTCACAGGATGTCATTATTTTATATTATTTCCGTGTAATTGAGACGATAAATAATGCGGGTTAGATAGCTTTGCATCAAATGCATGCTGAGCGATGGTTTATTGCGAAAAAGAGGTAGAATCGTTGTAAGATAGGATGGTTGTAGACTTATTTGTACTTATATTTTATCTGACATCATTACGTTCTATTTTAAATGACCATAGGGTGATGAAGAAGGGCTGAAATATCTGCATCAATTTTTATTACTAAGGGTATGGTAAATAATTAGACATATTTTCCAAATGTAATAGAACTAATATGTAGATTGTGACCAGAAATGATCTGTTTGCTAAGATAAAGAGTGCATGGAAGTTTTGATGATTTACTTGGTTTGCTTTTATGCTTGTTAGAGTAACGTTAACACTGTTCCGCAGGTCAGTAATATCATATAGGGTCCTTAAAGTGAATAGTTTTTTGTTAGCTGTCCGACTGAGAGATTCATGTTGTGTTAAGTAAAAAAGAATTTAGACTTTGTATGCATAAATAATTTCCAGTGGTACAATTCACTTTATCAGTTTTTAACTATCTGAAACAGCTATGATTTAGCAAACTTGTGTTGATACTGGGTAATAATTGAGTAAAGTTGTTTATGAAAAATCTTCACTTATGGACACAATTTATTAAGGCAATCAAGGCCTACTCACAAATAACTGCTTTCCACAAATTATTAGAGATACTGGAAAGTTTATTAGTCATCTGTTACCTTTTAATGTATCTATAAATAAAAATATTATGCAACCTAACTCGGTATAGGTTTTGTTAGGCAATGGGCCACACTTACTGTTTGAGAACTTGTGCTGCTACTTAGACGCTCAAGTCGAAGTAAGTCACATGAGGTTTGAACCTGATACGTGTCACTTGAGAGTTAAATACTTTAACCAACAATCCACATCTGCACATTGTTGAAATTTTCTTTACGCTGTAGCAACCGAACCTATCTTCTTTTGACGATGTACGTTGAATTCTTCACAGCAGTTTATAGTAGGCATTTTATAGTTTTTCTTTTTGATCGATTGGTTTAGGCTTGTTAGTGTTTTTTTTTCTTCATTTGCTTAATAATCCTCAAAGGCTCAACGATATTTCTGTTGATATTTTTAAATACGTACCTACTAATTACAGTCATGCACGCAGATTGATTCTGTAAAATTAAAGTGATTAGAAGGGATTTCGTATGCTGTTCAGTCATTTGCTTCCTCGATTTACCTTAGTTGTGGCAGAAGAGTCAGGCAAGAAAGGGTAAAAATAGTCTCCAGTTGAGTGTTAGATTATTATTCGGAAGCATTTGAAGAATAAGTGGCTTTTGGGCTGGACTCCATCAGATAGTATGACCAAGTGATTCGAGGTAATTAAACTTCTTTTCGACTTTATTCTAGGGTATTTGTGTTTATTGCACCCTTATAAAGCGTGTTAGTAATAACAAGAAGGAATATTTTTGATCTATTAGACAAGTAAAGTCATAAATATGTTGTATAAGAATAAAACTTGGGCACAATGGTAGAATGTAATTCCATTTTTAATTGATTAATTAGATGCATCACACTATGGAGCAGTATTATTTACTGGACTACGTTTCTGACAAAATTTATTGTTCATAGTCATATCAAGATAATTCTAAGAAGGCGGGAGAATAAGAACTATTTAAAACATTTCTGAAAGTTGTGGAGCTATCTTGACGTGACTACGGACAATAAATTGTGCCCGGAACGTAGTCTGATAAATAATACTGTTGCATTGTGTAATGCATCTGGTAAATCAGTTAGAATGAAAAGTGAGAAATAAGCATAGAAACCTATAGAGAAGATTGAATGGTATATTCCACCATACTGAATTAGTTTCCTCTTCATTTCATCAATTTAGTCTAGGTTGTGTTATATTAAGATATTCAGCATTGACAACCAGAAAAAGATGTATCACAGTGTTCATGGTTGTTTGTTAGCATAAGATACCAAGGCCTCAGTTTAATTCAAATAGATTTCAAGTATTCCTAGTCTGCCTAGATAAAGGAACAAAACTAAGTGTTTTGAATAAGTTGACGTGTAAGTCGAACTATTGGCAGCAGAGTCCTGACTTGTTCAGTTAAAAATTCAGTGAAACAACTGTTTCTTTACCGTTTTTGATAATTGTCGACTTTTTCTTATTGATATGAGATTTTGAACCATTATTATCAAGCAAGAGTGTCTTTCAGTGAGACCTGCATAGTGTATTACACACCTAAGTTATAAATTCTTCATGAAATATCAACATTATTCATGACTTACAGAAAATCTCACCTTGATCTTAAGTACTTTTATTAGTTTGCCATCAAAATGTAAAGTTGTATAAATGTACTTCTTTCTGTGAGCACCTAAGACTCAGTTACAGATAAGTAAATCATACTGCGATTCATGGGCACCAAAAGCTGTACAATGATTCACCAGTGTATAAGTTTGATATTTGTTCGATTCCATGATGCCACATAAATTCACTGTCGTATCTGCTGTTTATTAATACTTGGAGTGCTGTTGTTATACTGGATCGAATTGATTGACTTTTGTTGGCCTGTGGGTTCCTTCAATGGATGCCTCAATATTCTCTAAATAATCATTATGTTATAATTCACTTGGTTAGAGTCTCAGTGGGAACAAGATTGCCAACTGGGAGGCAGGTACGTGCAGCTATTTCCAAATAAGTCGATATGCGCATCCTGTAGTCCATTGCTAACCACTAGCAAGTTAATCACATCCTACTCGCTTTTTTATTAGACCATTTTCTTCATCTGACTTCACTTTTGTAGCTGAAAAATGTTCGATATTTTCATTAGTCGAGTAATTTTTCACCTTCATTTAGCTTATTACCGATATGTGTACGATTTGATACTGCTGCTTAGACAAATAGAGTTACAAAGTACTTATTCCAACCGACTTATTTTTAATGTGCAGATGAGTTCAAATGATGATGAAATGATGATTTTTTGATGAACTGACATTTCTTTGCAGTTTGACAGAGTAATCTTTTTGAACCTGTCTAATTAGGAGGTGCATTTAATAACCAGTATATATAAAAAAAACATTTTAGAGCGAAAGGCATAAATTGTTCTTTTTTAAGTCAAAGTAGCTCACAAACTATATCCGAGTCTATTCACATTACTGTGAGACGTACACGTTTTGCAAAGACTAATCATACTCCCTATTCACTGAAACCTTGACAAATGGAAGGCAGTCCCAAGTCATGACCTGGCAGTTGAAAGTAGAGTGCTTTGACCCACGGTTTCGGAGATTGAATGGCTGAAACATTGTCTTTGAATATTGTCTCTTCTTTATAGTTTATTCATTGATTGGTTCTTTGTAGTCGTTCTGTGCTCATATTCTGTTTTCTGAAAATTATTTTGGCATAGAGTGTAAGTCTTCTTACTTTTTTTCTAATTTCAGGATTAAACTAAGTCAATCATGGGACTGACTTGGCGTCTACGTTTATCATATGCACTTGGACATGTTTTAAATGATTTATGCGCATCAGTATGGTTTACGTATACTCTAGTATTTTTTAAATTTGGAATCGGTATACCAACAAGTATGGCTGGTTTAATTATTCTCGTCGGTCAGTTGGTTGACGGTTTTGTAACACCCTTGATCGGATTATTTTCGGATAAATTCTCATCTCAATCGTCTATGCTATCGTCATCCTCACCAGTTGCACGCACTTGTACAGATAACCTTTTACACAATTCTCATCAATCTTTAGCAAATCGTGGTCAGAATGATGCTTCAACGTATCGTACTGGTGATGATACCGTTGCTACGAGTATGCCAAGGTCAACGAATTCATCATTTTCTCAACGATGTCTATACTGTATAACAGCATTTCAACCATCTGGTCGTAAAATATGGCATCTAGGTGGAAGTGTATTGGTTATTTTCTCATTTCCTCTGATATTTGGTCCACCACTTGGCTCATCTGACGTCAGTACATTAGCTAAAATGATTTACTATCTGCCATTAGTGGCAATATTTCAAGTAAGTTTGGAACTTTTTCACTACCTGTAATACAAAGTAGCGAATTCGTCTCAAATATCCGATTAAACAGCTCCTAGAATTATGATACTGTACTCGATATCCCTGATATAAAGCTGACCTAAGAATTAGAAAGCCAGTTTTAAGTTTCTAGTACACTTCCAAACTATAGTTTAATTTATAGTAGGGTGAAAACAGCCTTACCTTTTGTATTTTATTACACAGGTTATCCAGTTAATTCTATGCAATAGTGATTAAAAGGATAGAGTAACCAACTGGTTTAGTAAACCACCCGCAAGGGAATCTATTGACAGGCATTTGAGTTGAAGCTAGTTATAGTTTATTTTTATTTTAGCATAATCATATTCTCCGCACTTATTTATGTTTCTAATTCCTTTAGTTTGTAAGAATACAGATTGAAGTGTTGCTTTGTCTCACTCATAGATCGCTTGTTCAAAGAAAACTAATGTAGCTGTCATATTCTTAGCGATGGTCGAAATCTATAGATCATATTTGCAGTATGGTCATTAAACTAGGTGACAAGAAACTGTGATGCACTACGGTTCGGCGTCAGATGTAGGGAGTCATTCAAGAAGACACCCAACTTGATCTGGATTTCTTGCTTGTCGACACTCAGAAACACGGTGTCTGCAGCCTTTAGCGAATTCTACAACATTTGAACATGTACCATTCAAAGACTTCAAAATAACTATTAAAACGATGGATGAATCATATGCAAGAAACAGTCAGTAAATAGTGCCAGTTACTCTTTGCTGTATCGCTCTTGGAAGCAATTAACAGGAAGCTCTGAGTCTAGATTTTGTACTTGTTGTCAGTCATCAGCAAGGCTTCTTTTCAAATTCGAGGAAACTGACGTCCTACCACTCGAGATCTAATGGCATCTAATCGGCAAACTAGGATATCATCACAGCATTTCTTCTTCAGTTCACTAAAATAACCTATATAGTCATGTAGCTTAAATAAAAAACTACATCCTTGAAAATAACTCCGTCGAAAACAAAAGCTTCCTCACGGTTTGGTTTTTATTTAATAAGGAAGTGTGTTATTATGCGTTGATTAACTCTTATTGTACTTGCTTTGGTTCATTTAAACAGCAAGATATCGTTGTATATTCTGTCGTACATAAAACTGTATGTGGATAAGTTATAGGGATTTAGTAAATCAATGCAGGCTAGTCAACAGAATATATCAGAAATAGGGTTTTATTTTTATTTACACCCAACATCATGGTTCTGTCTAAGGATTTGGAGAAGTATATACTCTTTCGAAAAGTTGAGACTTAATTAATCAGCGTCACAGATCACTTTCAACAGCAATCGAAGGTTGGACTTGGGCACTGTGTTAAAATATAATTCTATATAAGGTTTGTTTATTTGATACAGTACATAGTGATGGTTTTATTTACCTGATGGTGTTTCACGCAGAAATAGTTGCTCGTTGTCTTCTCAAAAATAATCACATAACTTTTGACATTTGGTTTTTATAGTCCTAGGTTTCACGGCAGACCAAAACTACTTTAACCAGACATCCCTCTATGACCAATAGTCTTGCTTTCAGGAACAGCAATATATATATATATATATATATATATATATATATATATATATATATATATATATATATTCAGAGAGCTTTGAAAAAACTTAAATAACTTGCGCAATCATGGGAACATCTCACCAAATCATCGACAGCATTCTTGCAAGGGATCAAAGGCATTCATATCGAAAACAACGAATTAGTGATATCTTTCGATATCACATCACTATACACACCAATCGAACCACAACTGGTCGAAGAAACTATGTCTTTCCTCCCCACCGAAGACACTAGTCTTTCAGAACGCACAAAACTTGAATGTTAAAGTCTGATGGGACTTATTCATCTTTGACTGACAACATACCGCCGACTAAATGGTAAGATATACAAACAGATGGAGGGAACTCCAATGGGACCTCTGATATCCGGATTAATTGCAGAAGTAGTGCTGCAGAGACTGAAAGCCATCATTTTACTTGTGTTCAAACCAAACATTTGAATCTGTTATGTGGAAGATACTTTTTTCATCATTAAAAAGGATGATGTAAAAAACAGTCTGATGGACAACGTTTTCAATGACATCAACTTCACAATAGATAAGGAGTCAAACAACTAACTACTATTCCTGGATGTTTTGGTCAGTAGAACGAATGTTGAAAACCTGTAAACTCAAGCGTTCTGGACGTCAACTCCCCAACGGCGTACAGACTCTACTCAAAAGAGCAGGGACACATCGCAGCACAACAGCTTCACGGAGAAACGAAGAACATTACTCGATGTCTGTCCTAAAGAAAAATATCTAACCACGAAACTTTATCAGAAGATGCTATCTCGTTAATCATCAACTACAAAACCACATTAATCAATGAACAGATCATCCTACCGTAAATAAAGAATATGTGAGAGATCACGAGGAATTAATGTGGCTTGTAAGCTAACCGACTTCCTACAAACCAAATTATGCAGATGAAAGGAAGCAACAGCCAAAAAAGAAAAACTAAATATCATTAACAAATCATCTGCAATAGTTGTGACTGAGTCTATATTGAACAAAGTCGTCGTCTTCGTTTACATGAACATCAGTTGGCGATCAAACATCATGACATTTAATCGCTCGTTTGAATGCATATGGATAACTACGGACATGAATTCAATTTTGACGATGTAGAAATCTTGGACAGAGGAAATACAAAGAATATCAGAGAATTCCTAGAAGCTTGGCATTCAGGTCAGTCAGCAACCAATAAATGTATAGACATAGACCTAACCTATCAACCAGTGAGGAATATTATAAGCAACCAAAAGGTTAGAGGTCAAGCAGAGAAGCAGCCAAAAAGAAAATCTATGTAGTCAATGGCACACGAAACAAAGGGAACTACCAGTCACTTACTACTTCATCCGGAATCACTCAGGCAAAAATACTGACAGCTCACAATTCATACTGAAGTTAGTGCTGCTGATGTTGGCTAATTTCGTCTAGAAAAAAAGAAAGCTCCACGATTAAACCACGTAGCTCAGAGAACACAACAAAACCAAGATCATCCTATCACTTCCTATTCGTTGTTTTTATTGGTAGTAAAGCTCTCTATTTCTTCTGCAAAACTGTTGCGTCATTCCTGTTACATTTGTTGGTTGTTGATTCTATATCCCGAAATTGTGTTGTCTTTTTGACAAGATTATGAGCAGTAATTTGTGCTCAAAATGTGATCAAATATTACTGTATGCTGTGAACTTGTCTAATATGGAAACATTAAGCAGGAGCTTTTCAACCTTGACCGGTAGAGTTGTCTAGATAGTTGGCAAAATCCTATGAATTTTTGTTTATTATTTATTGAAGTAAATATTAAAAAGGTGGATTTGAAGCCTCAAGCGAACAGAATTTTCCTTTAGGTTACGCATACATCTTGCTGAGAAGTTCTCTAGAACATTGACTCATGATTTATAAACACACTAAACTTTAAATGCTACTGCATGTCACAGTCTCATTTCGCTCAATTTTATGACCACGATGGAATTTTGTACCCCTGGATTGCTGCAAAAATAGTATAGGAGTACTTCGGTTACTGTTTAAAGATAATTCCTTCTACCTCATTTTATTGTAAATACACTGAGTAATAGAAATGATGATTGAATGAAAAGGAAGTTTCTTGGAATTGCTTATCTAATGAATTCACTATGCCGATGACATTTTTAACTGGTCTTTGGTTTCAAACTTGTCGTTTTTAAACAGTGGATATTTGATTCATACGTTTTTATCTACTACATTCAAATAATCACATGATAAGCGTAGCCCATAATGTAGTACACTACTATGTATACCAGACTGTTATGTTATGACATTCTTTCACAATCTTATTCATATATTATATGTGTGTTATACTCTGCCAGTTGATGAAAAAAAATGGTATGACATTGCAATTTCGGTTTACGCTTCTTCAGAAGTCGCAGTTACATACGTGACGCATCCTCGCAATCTTCCATTGTGTATATTTGGTTGTTTAGTATGCATAATATTCATAAGTCAGATGCATAGAAAGAGATGGTTTTCTTTGCTATTATCCTCATAGTTTATTCATTTGTCTTTGTTTTTAGAGTGGATGGGCTTCGGTACAGATTACGCATTTGGCGCTAATGAATGAATTATCCCTTGAATCAAGTGAACGTACCTTATTGACATCTTTGCGTTATCTATCTACAGTTGTTAGTAATCTTATTGTTTATCTTAGTACATTCCTTCTTTTACAACATGAGCATTCTTACAATAATAATATTGATATCCACAGTGGCAGTAAAACTGTGAAAAATATAACTACCTACATATCACCAAGTGAAAACGTTGATTATTTAATGTTACCTATGGTGATGACAGCTCATCCATTATCGAAATGCTCAAATCTGACATCACCTTCAATTTCGTTCATTGATTTCAACAAGAATGACATATCAGCTTTTCAAAAGCTCGGTTTTACTATTACTGGCATTGGTGGGTTGACAACCCTTTTGTTTCATTTAGGCATACGAAGATCGGATATTGTGAACACTGTACGAACTACAACTTCCTGTAAGTATAACTGCATGAGATAAATAAATCGAAATTTGATACACTTTTCTATTTAATCTGAACTACCTAGCACAGTAATAAACTTAAGTCCGTAATTTCACTAACATTGATAAGTCTGAATACAAAGGTTATTTCATCCATTATCGATGTCATTTGATGAACTTTTGAGACCTGAAAAGGTACCTAGTTTTCCTCATAGTTGTTCAGCCTTGACATTTTTACTGTTCTGAATCGAGTAACTTCATATTTAGAGCTCAACACTATGTTTTAGGGTTGTTAGTTGAAATAAAATGATCAAGTTTCAGTTTGACGTGATTACTGTCCAGGAAATTCCCCTTCTGTCACCATGTGTGATTGTATGCATAATTCACGGGTACTCATAGTTTAAGCAACATCAAAGACATATATCCACTTTCACCCTGATTGCCACCATGTCGACAAAATAAATACTCTCAGTTCGTTTCTATTATTTATATTGTCCCACTGAATTCCAGTCTCTTTTTCATCTACAGAGGTTTTGGAAGCCAGGCAGCATCACTATCCCTCACACAAAAGGTGTGAGTCATTCCCTTCTGCACGAGTGGTCACAGGATCACTGAGTGGGTTTCTTTTTTTGTGACTTGGTTGGGTATCAGATTTAATTGTTGCAAGATCGGTTTCCCGTTCGAGTGTTCCATATCAAGTTTTATCACCCTTTTGAATTTAAATCGTATTATACTTTATCGCAGATTATTTAAGGTAGAGTTCTAGAGATTTATAAACTAGAATCAAATTGCTTTCTATAGTATTTACCTGGTTTCTAGTAGTTTTCGATTATTGGTCTAAAAGTTAGTCTCCCGTTTCCAGCTAGGTTATGTCTAAATGTCTAAAGGCTTTCATTAATGACGAGCCTCATGATACTTGTTGTCTAAGGGATACAAGTCTTTTCTCCTTCGAAGCTATTTTTCACCAACTATTCTGTGTTAATGTTGGTTGTGATATACAGCTAACAGAAAAAGCTATGCGGCAGTAGATAAAAACGCTGCTATTGAATTTTGCTGTTTGTCGGAATTTCGGGTTTGAAAGTTGTGATCTTCCCTGCCATGGTGATATGGTTGAAATTATTCTGTTTTATGATGAACACTTTTATTAAAAATGGAAGATCCATCAATTTTATCAAAATTAAAAATGCAGGCAATATCTAAGCATTCGTCCAGCAGCTTGTATTGCCAACAAAGACCAATCAATGCAATCTAATCAACGATGGGATGATACAAAAAACATCATATAGAAACTCAAAGTTATTTACCAATATTTGAAAAAACTATTACTGAATTAGCGATTTTCATTTTAGTATACTTATTAATTGTAACATTGATTTTCTGCAAAGACTGTAACACTTATAATACAGAATACGATTATTTATAGATACTCGAACCACGTTCAAAACCAATGGTTTAAAAATAGTTGGACATTAGGTAAATGATATACACGATTTTGAAGGTTATAAGGTATAAAAACATGGAAAATGGTTTAACTGATATGAAGACCATTTAGAACCAGTATTTGAATCCCAGTAGTAGGAAGCTGAAATGTATGGAGGCGTATATGTGATAACTAAGCCGAAGTTCTTCTGCATGAATAACTTTGCGTTTACCAGTTGGTTGAAAAATGGTAATGAATACACCTAGTGAATTATGTATGATAGCTAAATGTATGAATAGTACTTTAACATTTTCATGTGTTTACAGGATTAGACTTCTTGTTACACGTGTGCCAGGTTATGACAGTGCGTTAAAAATGAACCAAACTTTTTGGAATGATACTTGTAATTTCCCGTTGCTATACAGGGCTGAATTGCTGAACATCTGTTGGCAAATGAGCTCCTATGCGGATGCCTCGATACTTCCGAATATTCATGATGGTATATTGATCTTCGTAACTAGCAGAGGAATCTAGGACGCGCGTTTTATCCTATTTGGGAATTGTCAACTGAATGTACCCGTACAAGTATCATTACAACAACTGCCACCCGTTGCACAAAAGGTGACTATCGTGCCCCAGTGACTTAGTGGATAACGCTCTGGCGTTTGAAGGGAAGAGTATAGGATTCGAGTCCTCGTGGGAACAACATCACACACTGGGATGCAAGTACATCCAACTGACAAGTCCCAAATAGAACGAAACGCGTGTGCTGGATTCCTCTGCTAGTCTTTAAGATCAATATAAAACCAAGCTTGTGTTTAGTTCCCTGATCGTTCTTTAGACACTGTCAGTTGAATTCTCTTTCAGTGCATCCTACCGATAATTTCGAACTTTTATTTATCAAATTCAACCCGATGGCCTATTATCAATTCATGTAAAGGTATAGTTGAAACAGATAGTAAAGCTTTTTGATTTCTTGGAAGGTGGGATGAAAGCCATTCAGTTTTCATATCTTCTGTCTTATATTTATTTTATGTATAGGTGTATTCTATTTCATAAATAAAATCGGTTTTGAATCTTTTAGGATTGTGCGCTTCATATGGACTGATGAGCTATATAGTTTAATGTTGTATAAAATACCTGATCATTGTATCTGTTAAGCACCCTTCTGACTACATCCGTAAGCTACCGTTGTAATTTACTGATTAGGCCAGTTTTCTGTATTTTCTGATGGTGTTCATTTACATTTCTGTAAATGAATTTTAGTGAACAGTTATTCATTTTCAGGACCTTGGTTATTTGTATCTATGTCATTCACATGTTCATTTTCTTTCTTTTTAAAACTTGGAGATTGTGAGTCACTGACATAAGCAATGAACGTTTATAAGTAAGGAACTATTTATACGAATCTCATTCTACTTAATTCCGTATTACCAACCAGATGCTAGGTACCACTATCCTGCACCCAATAAATTTAGCTGGTAGCCTCGTACATAAATTTGTTCCTAGTTGAGTCAAGTTGCTTCTTGTTTGATCGTTTTCCAAAAACCATGACAAATGCAGAATTAATTATCCATGCTGAAGAAATTTGATTCCACTGTCACTTATAAGATTCAGTACCGTATATTATGTATATCAGCTCACTATAACTGTCACCAAGATAATGACAATGAATGGCCTAGACGTCAGTTTAAAAATATTTTCTCGTTCTTTTACAGTTCAACAGTTCTTCATTCATTTATTTTGTCGGTAGTAGAATTTTTCATATATCTGCAATATGTGATGAATTATCCCTGTTACATGTGTCCATTCAGTTAACAAAGACCCTGTGATCAATCTTTTCCTCCGCCTAGCTATATTGAATTTAAGAATTGCCACCCTATCCCACTCTATAGTGTGATAATCGGTGAGTGCAGAGCGATAGCCAACTTTTTCCCTGAATTAATTACCTAAATAGGATTTAGCATTCTACATTTCACCAAATGTTTTTGGTCCTCTATTCTGACTAACCCAATCCTCTGTTATGACCCATTCGCTAGACCTCACAATCATTACTTGTTGTCTAGTAGATTAGATTGTTTCGCTTAAATGGATATTTTAGTCTGCAAAATTTCTTTCGCGTCGGTTTAAATGCTATGGCTATCTCTTTATTCACTGAACTACCGCATCAAACACGCAATCGGCACCATTCGTCACATATAGCAGATATTTGGAAAATTTTACTACAATCAAAATAAAGGAATAAAGAAATGTTGGACTATGTGAAGGAATTTGCTTGGTTGTGGCTAGCAGAGGAATCCAATACGCGTGTTCAGTTCTATTTAGGACTCGTCAGCTGGATGCACCTGCACCTAAATGAGTTATGTTTCCACTAAGACTGGAGCTTCATACCCATCGCTTCAAACACCAAAGCGTTATCCACTAGGCTACTGACGCACTATGGTCACCTCTTGGTTATTAGTTGTAAGTATTTGTTGATACATTTGTATATCTTCGTTGCTATAATGGACCGAATTGTTCGACCTCTGCTGCCATATGGGCTCCTATATGGATGCCTCGATATTAACTGAATTTCTCTGCTAGCCAAAATCAACTGAGATATTTCAGGTTGGTTTCTATCATATTTCATAAGATTTTTTCGTTTCACAAATTTAAATAAAGTGAGAACAACTTTATTAGAATAGTATGGATCCATTTTATTTCACGGTTCTCATCAGTTGCGATGTTATAAGATTTGGATTCAATTTTTGAAGCTAATATTTCGCGAATTTCATCCTGTAGGTTACACTAAGACATCCATGTTTCTCGCGACTTCAATTAAACAATTGGTCGAACTCGCTTGGATTGCATTCGTTTATGTCTTTTTGTGTCATTCATTTCCAGCAGAAAGAAATTCGGCAGATTTTCATAAGATTATGGCGTAAATCATGACTGATAAGCAACGTACAAGTTCACCCTAAAGGGTTTCATAAGAAGATCCATTGTTTCTCCAAGAATAGTGGGAAGTTTTCTTGCTATTATTTATTCGTATTCAGGTGGCAGGTTTATACGTGATTAATGTATTGAATACAAAAAATGTGTCGATAATTTTGTATTTTATTGATTATTTTAAAAAAAAAAATAATTTTAGTAAATGAAGGAGATGTTCCAGTTTATGGATCAATTGATAATACGAGATATTCCACTAATGTGATTACTACATGGAAAGATTGGTTACGTTTACCATTATTTTGGATTCTTGGTTTTTGTTACATGTTTGTCAGACTGATTGTCAATGTATCTCAAGTAAGTGCAAGTGTGTTGAAATACTTTTTAAGTGTATTTTCCTCCAGCTAATTAAAACAGTATTTCATCGGCCTAATTGACCACACATATAGAGTGACTGTAAAGTTTACCTTAGCAATGAATAAAATAGCTTAATGAGTTTCTTCATTTTGCCGGGATGGATAATTTTTTTTATTTAATGAAGAAAGGTAATCGATTAGTTTAATAAATATTTTTCGGATAGCCTTTAGCATCACTTGACATCTTAGTAAAAGCACATGATACTTAGAAAAACGGAGTCAATGGTGTCAAGCGTTTGAAGTTAGGTGATGGGCAGCAGCCATTCAATACAAGTTTGCTGACTTTTGGCCTTTATCAACTTGTATATCCATTGGGCAACGTTGATTTAGATGAGATAAGTTTTGAAAAAAATTAAGTGATTGACTATCAGCTTAATTTATGCAATTATATATATATATATATATATATATATATATATATATATATATATATATATGAATTTGATGAGATGCGTAAGGTGTTATAAATAAGCATTTACAGAATTTATATGGTGTGGCTGATCACTTGGGGTTAGTTTTATTCACCTTTTGTCTTATTTTTCAAAATCTCGAGCGCTTTTTTCCTGGCATATTTGTTCTATCCACTTCTTTGTCATTCTCTCATTTGAAGATACCTTGACTCCCCATTATTTCCCTCCTATACTATTTGAAATGTCAAAATGAACTAGTACACTTTTTTTTAAGTCCCATGCTATTGTATCTTTATATGTGTTTGTCTCAATTTCAAAAGCAAATAACTGAACGTCTGACGAGACTGCAGTCCATTTGATGGCTAGCGGTGGAATCTAGGATATGCGTTTCGTCTTATTTGGCATGAGTCAGTTGGATGTACCTACATCCCTGTGAGTGATGTTGTTCCCACTGAGACTCGAACTTAGCATCTAAAGCTTCAAACGTTTTACGAGATCTTAAGAGTTAGTGTTAGGAAACTCTTTGTGATACGACTGTTAATTAATCAAAATGGTGTCGATGTATTGATTTTTTGTGATATTAAAGTTTTAGAACATTTTGTTTATATTTATTTATGTATCTCCCCTACTGTCACACACTCTTGTCTACTTTAATATTAGAAGTAGTATTCATCATGGACTGACATCAGTTGGGGAACCATCGAAAATCTGAGAGCACTGGACAGCCGTTTCGTCCTAGTGTGGGACTCCTCAGCTTTCCGCACCTACGACCCGGCTAGGGGTCGAACTCAGGACCTTCGGGTTTCACGGCTCACGCGTTAACCATTCAGCCACTGGGTCGGTTTCCAGTGGTTCACAATTAAAAATCCCCATTCATCTCAAAAATACTTTAATATTACTCCAATCCATTTAATTTTCAAGAACAGTTATGAGGTGTTTCGTCCTTAAAATAATTCATTTCTATGTGAGATTCTACACTGACTTTTTTGTCTTCATACGCTTCAAATCAAATATCAGTGATAAAGTGAATTATTGTCATGTGTGTTACTGACTACACTGAAGTAATCATTAAGTGTTATTTTTGTGTTTTATCCCTAGGTTATTCCTTACATATCTTATTTATTAGTTTTATATAGCTGACAGCAATCGACAAAATGTTTCGGATTTCAGATAATCTCGAAATTCGGATAAAGGTGAATCAGTTGAATTTATTTTCATATTACCACTCCATAAAAAGAAGAAATCACTATAAACATGGTGGAAAGGAAGTAAACAAGATGGAGGTGAAAAGAGATTGGTGAAAATCGACAAGATGTTTGAAATTTCAATGATGAATGAGGCTGGATTCATCAGCTCCAGTGTGATTGATTTTGAGCCATCTCACTAAAAGTCTGCAACTGTTGACTGTTAACGCCTAGAGAAACTAAGCTACAGGACTAAGCGCTAAAAAAGAATAGAAAACGTGTTACTATTTCAGAAATGAAGAACTTCGTTTGTTGAACAGCATGGTATTATCTCTATTGTTTAGTGAATGCACAATATAGGTAATATATTTGCATCAGCACCACGAACTAGATAAATTTTCCTTCTGGGAACTTACGTAACTAACTATGGTTGCGATTTCAGCTATCTTTATTAGAAAACAGTCATCTATTGAATCAAGTTTGAAGGAGCGTGTCATTTTGTTTCATTTATTGTCTCATTTACCAGTGAGAAATGAACTAGTGTGCTTTGCCACTATCTGATTCCCAAAAGAAATGAACTGCACTTTTGGGTCTGTGAAAATAGGTTTTATTCTGCTTAGGCTTTAGTGATACATCTTGAATAAATTGTAGTTGTGAATTTTACTTCCTCAATATTCTGAATTTCTAAAAAGCCTTGAAAATTATCTTTTGTCATTATTCTACACGTAAATGATGTTTGTTATTCTTGTCAAAGGCTGTAGGAACGATAGCAATTTGTACCGTTTGAAGCTCACAGAAAGTTATGATATATAAGGAATTTATCTATTCTGCAAGCTTTGTTATTCTACTTTTAAAAGTATTTTACAAGTGAAGTTCGCTGTTTTCATTAGTTAAATTTCATCATGGAAGCTTGTTTGTGTGAAAAAGTCTGAGTTTATCTTAAAGAGACCTGCTTACTACTATTGAGGACTAACAGACAGAAAGTCAGAATTCTGAACTTTCTATAACCAAGTATAGAATTTACCTTTCAGCTTAAAATTATTAGTACAAATTTATCATCACTGCAGTTTATGGCATTGGTGTATACCCACCCAGTCATGTTGAGACGTAAAAGTACCTATTCATTCATTCTTGTTTATTAGCTGGGTTATTACTTCATCCTACCCATAGGCAGTAAAATTGCGTTTCAGTAGTCTGTGTCGTGATAAAATGTCTTAATTTACTTTTTTTTCTTCAGGCTTATTTAACAGTCTACCTCTTGGATTCACTGCTTTTACCTAAAGTTACCATGGCATTGGTTCCTTTGACTGTCTATGTGACAAGTATTGTCACCATCATTGTGCAAAAACCGATACAAGATCTTATAAGTCGTGAAGTAAGTTAACCTATATTCTTATTGGTACTGGTATATATATACATATATATATATATATATATATATATATATATATATATATATAAAGTTAATCTCATCATGGGGTCACAACAGCTAAGGAACAGTTAGGAATCAAAGAATAATGAAAATTAGTTTGATACTTTCGAATAAAGAGGATTTGGTGACATGTAGGGTAAAGCAAGTCTGAAGTGAAGATCGATGTCTGCCAGTCATACAGGACCATAGCCATATTGTATTTTAAATCGATAAAATTCAGTAGATGAGGACCGTTTGATTCCAATTTAGTGATAGTTTGCTAGCATGTTTCCTGTAGGATAATATGATCCTGAATTATTTGGCTGTTGATCGTCCTGTAACTAATTTTAAATCTTGAAGAAAAGGTTCCTTCAATCACTTCCCTGAATTTCACATGATTGTTTAATGTTTCATACACTGTTTTGATTACACATTTAAGCACAAGTGGGTATTGTTTACATTTTTTTAAAAACTGATTATAAATTAACCTACATTACTACAAATCTGGTCGTTTCTCTCACGTTTATTCATTTCTACAAGCCTACAGCAAACTATGATTGATTTTTAAAGTTGGGAATTTATTTTAGATCTTAAGAAATTGTCTAGTGTTGTACAAAACCCTTTGGATAGTGTTAGGTGTAGCATTTTAACGTCTTATAACTGTTACTTCACAATGGTACTCAACTTTTAATGATACTATGTCTGTTTCAAACGAATTATTCGATGGTTGTTAGAATGCGAAACATACTTATCTTTCACCGTTCAAAGTTTCTGCTTGTGAATTGATTTCCGTCTTATGTCAAGTTTTTGTTAATTTACCTTGTTTAGTTTAAAAAACTGCATGTTATAGCAATTTTTCATCATCTTTAAGGTACCTGCAAAGTTTCGTTTAGATGATTTACATTTTGAGTAATAAACGCGCATAATTTAGGGAGGAATATTCAATTTTCAATTATTCACTCATTCTTGCCCACTTTTTCATCTGGATATATTTCCTTGATTCAGCATGTTTTGGTCTACTACGTTTCTTGTTCTTCTCGACATAATTATGTTGCAGGTCTAAACGTTTCTTACTGACTTCAACCTGGCTGGTAAATGGGCTATTTCATCTTTGCCTTCGCATAATTATTCTGGCTTATAGCTTAGGGGACAAGTAGGTAAGAAGCTGTTGACTTGAATTGTATACAACATACATATCATTATGCTTACACTGACTATTCATGAATACCCCTTTGTTTTCTTATATCATTGTATAGTATATGTGTATTTGAAACACCTGTTTTAACAGCATTGACTACTTCATACTAAACAGTTTTTCTCTCACATTCGTCCTTAATAACTTTTTACTTTCAACGTAAATTAACATTTAGATGTAAAACAATCAAAGTACGTATAATCAATAGTTATGGTTATACTATTTACATTAATTACGTATACCATTATTATTACTGCGTTATGCCCACGTAAAACTTTTTCACATTTTGTACTTTGTTTTGTTTGAATTCGATAGTTTTCTTTTGAAGCTATTGTGAATATGATATCTGAGACGATCTTGAAAAGCTTGCCAGTTTAACTTTGGTTCATTGGCCTGGAGACTCGATTTTCGACTAGTTGGTTTCTGACTAGATTTCCCTACTACCCCAGTCTGTTAACTTTAAGATTCCAGAAGTATTATTAACTAACGCTCAATAGCTGTGACAAGTAATGTGGTCAATGTAATTGTTAATGGCTTCTAAAGTTTTTAAGACCAGAGTTAGGCAGACGGACAAAATCAGCGTACAACTTCGCATATTAGTGAATAGGCTCAGGTTTCATAGTAACACATAAAGAACAGGTGGGTAGAAAAAAATGATATCAAAGTAGAGAACGTTAAGTGAGAGAATAAGTAATTTGAAGATAATGGCTAGTGCGAATATTCAAGCGTTAGAATGTGTCAAGGAGTGAATACATCTGCGCCACTGTCACCGATTTTCAGCCATGTCACCAAGAGTCCTCAACCACTGATTTCTTCGTCTCGGCGACCTCAACCAGGTAGTCGGCATCGCCTCATATGGCTCAGGTCAACAGTAAGAGACTTCATAGACTGGTGCCATGTCTTGGTCTACCCACTCTGAACAATTTTATAGCCTAATTCAACTTCCGTTAGCATCGTACGTCGAGGTAGATGGTGGCTCGGCATGTGCAACACCAGAGTATCTTAAAGGACGTTCAGGATGACCAAAACTCATGCTTTAAATCTTTTAAAACATATCATTAACTTTCGAGAATGTTAGTCCTTTTTATGCATTTCTATAATTTTACACGAAGAAGTAGTATGACGTATCTACACTCCGAATAATCTGGTCACACATTTACTTATCAAGGCATCTTATATGGAACAAAGAATTGAAAGAGGGACAAATATAACAATAAATACAGTAAGAATAAGAAGGCTTATAAAAGAAGACGAATACGTTTCGAGACTAACCTTAGTAATAGGATAAGATAAATATCATCATGGTGGACTTAGTATAAGGATGATTGTTGGTGATCCTACAAGAAAACTTCAATTTGCGTATAGAAAGCACTTCACAACGTTGTAAAGATTGTTATAATCTCAATCCTGCGACTTTTAGGAATAATGTATTCTTCACTGAATAAGACGATTATCCATCACCTGCGCTTATTGGTGTTTGCCGCTCTAGCTGCTTTTGTAGTCATTTTGTTACATGTTTCACCACCCTCAAGTACATATCTGGATTAGTCCTCCCTGTGCGTTTACACACATATATAAGCCAGTAAACGCTGTGAAATGTGACGTGATCGCATATACAAGAGGAAAGTCTGTTCCACAATTTGGTTTTCGGCTTTCTTAACTACAATAAACCTGACTATAGAAGACGCTTTACCGTTGGCAGACCTTAGTCCTCGCTCTTAAATTGTACTATAAGATTCTCTTCCGTATGGTTGCTTTCCCTTGCAATTTAACACAGGATGGGTTCCAATACTAAGTGATTCTCACGGTGATTTATTAATTTTACTGAATATCCATTTTCTGCTAATGCTTCACTTGATATTTTAGTGTCATTATCCATTAAGTCTGCTACACAAATTCGTTAGATCCCTGTTAGTAGGCATTTCATTAAGCTTCATCTGTATTACATTGGACAAAACCTGTGGAAACTTTAGTACTGCCCTGTCCAGACCAAGTTTGTGTAAATTGACTCTTTATTGAACTACTCTTCCTACTAATGTGGAGTGTATACAAAGACGGACAGATTCTTCTCAGTTGTTAGGTCTTTTTAAAAAAAACAGGTTTTATCTTTATGGTCATCACACAACACAGTTACTTCGTCAACGTATATCTTATTAAGAGCGGCTTCACTTAAAGGATCCCAAGCAAAATGTTTGATATTTTACAATGTAAACACTACCTAGCAGCGGCCCTAAGAAACTTTCCAACGTCACGCCACTGATTCATCGATAATGTTCCCTTTCATATTCGAAGTGAATCTTGTCAGTACACAAAGCAAAAGCTCCTTCACACATGTTGAACGGATAGGCAAAATAAAATCACTAGAGCCGATATGATCCCAAATAATGTCAGTTGTCTTGGTTAGGTGCAGTTTAGTTCAGAGGTGTTGACATCGAAAGAATAAAAAGTCTTATCAATTTCCTTAAAACTCCTCTGCAGTACCCAGCAACAATTCATAATATTTTACAGTAATCCCTTCCTTTTGGTAACAGATAGGTTTAAAGAAATGCAGGAGAAAATACTCATTATAATAAACTAGTTGGAGAACACAAAAATAGATAAAACACCGCGACATTAAATTATACATTTTTATTGATACAGATTAAGATATGAAGACAGGTGTGTATCTTCTGAACTGTAACAGATTTCAACCCACATCTTTTAACATAATGAACCACTTCTTATTAGATTGTTTATTTGATGCAGCACACTGTGATACAGTATTATTTACTTGGTGACATTTCGAGCAGAATTCGTTGTTCATATTCATATCAGAGTAATCATACAACTTTCACACTTCCAACAGTTCATTCATTCATTTTAATAGTAGTAAAATTTTCCATATATCTGCAATATGTGATGAGTCATTCCTGTTCCATGTGTTAGTTGTGGATTAAATGAACAAAGATTCTGTGACCAATCCTTTCCCCTCGACCTAGCTATATTGGTTTAATTTAATGCCTGAAACTAATTATCCAAGAAGAATGTATAGTATCATTAAGGTTCGTAAAACAGGTTATCCTATTAGACCAGTAGTTGACGTTAGAAACACACCAACATATGAGTTATTGAAATATTTAGCTACAGTACTATGCCCTATTAGAAATCGCTCAAAATCCAGGCCCATCAATTCAACTTAATTGAGACGCAGACTAAATAATATACGATTAGATGAGAAAGAAAAGATCATTTTTGATGTGACGAGTCTTTATACAAATATATCAATTAATAAGACACTTGAGGCAGTCCGAAATGAACTCACAACTGATCGTAAAACAGTTATAGAACTAAAGTTTCTATTAATGAAATTATGCTAGAGATAAGACTATGTTTAACTACCATAGTTTTAAAATTTCAAGACAAAATATATCAACAAACAAAAGGAGTAGCCATGTTATCTCCAATATCCCCAATCGTAACAGACATATTTATGGACAGCTGGGAACAAACAGCATTAGGAACATTCTAACCCACCCCAAAAGTATGGTGGTGATATATAGATGATACCTTTATTTTGCTAAAATCAGAGCACATCCAGTTTTTTCGCATACATCAACTCGATAGCAGATGCAATCCAGTTTGCTTATGAATTAGAAAATGAAGAAGAATTGCCTATGCTGGATTGCAAAATCAAGAAGAAAGAAGATGGGAGCTAAGATATCAGTGTTTATAGGAAACCAGCGCATTCGAACTGATAGTTGGATTTTACATCTCACCCTATGACTTGTCA